AACGTTCTTGGTATTAACTTGGCTCTGATTAGTTTTGTCAAAACAATCCGACACGTGGCAAATAATCAACTACAATTCTCTTTTAAAAAGTAAAGAGAATTGAAATTTACTTGGTTTTATAAATAGGCTATGGTAATCAAACCGACAAGAGGATTGGAATAGCTTGACAAATAATCAACTCTAATCCTGCTTAGCTAATAGGTCGATAGCTAAAGTTTCGATGACCATCATAGACCAAAAATTAAAGAAAGCTCATATCTTCAGAAACAAAGTTGTTAAGGAAATTAACATGATAAGTAGCTGGATATCGTCTATTATATCACTTCTAACAAAACTAACATCACAATTTACCATTAATTTCCAAAATTTATAGAACAGTCAAAAACGACAGCAGCACACGAATGACATTTGATTTATCCATTGTTGGTGACACCCTGTGTGGTATTAACTTCAAATAACACGCAATTCAACACCAAATTCGGTTTTTACATTGCCACGGTATTACTTGGAATATTATTTAATAAATTGATTTAATTAACTCTAGTTTTATTTATCTCTCAGTTTGTTATAAAAAAAACTTAAAATTTAGTCTGAATGAAAGCTGCTCAAAACTGATTATAAGTAAAAAAAATGTTTAATTTGAATTGCTGGAAAAAATTTAGTATCATCCTTAAAATCTAGTTTTACCGTAATTTTCACAGTAATATTTATTTAATTAGGGTGATTCAGTAATTTTTCTGTAATCATTACTGTAAGAATAACGGTAAATCCAATTTTTTTGTTCCGCAATACGTTCCGCTAAATAGTGAAAAGTACCCGCACCCTGAGTGCCAGTACTTTTTAACGTAATTGGATCCAGAATTTTTTACCGTGTGGGAGGCTACCTACCACCCTTCCTGACAGTAAATTTAAAATTTTAAAAATGTCAATATTTGGAAATTAGAGCTGAAAAAAAGACAATGTTAAAAAAAATTATAAAAATAATTACAGAAAAATAATAATAATTGTAAAAAAAGTTCATACAGAAAAAAAGAAGTCGAATATAAAGACTCTCTTTCTTTTCGTTCTTTTTTTTTAATAGCAAATTCATGTAAAAAGCTATAAATTTTCCCTAAAGGATTTATGGTTTTAGTTCAATAACTTTACTATGGATGGAGTTGTAATTTTTTTTTCGTTGTGCGTTTATAAATCAAAACTTTCCTCGTTGATTAAATGTGATAGCATCTGAGAGTGGACATTTTGACTTGTTATTAACAGGTTTTATATTGATTTACAGGTTTACTGTTTGCAACGAAATTTATTGAAATTCCTTAAAACTAAAGACAGAAACTCTGGAAGGCTAAATTTATTCCCTTACACATAATTAAAGTATGCTTCCGGAATTTTTTTTAACCTTAATTGTTTTCCTATTATAAATTTTTAAAAACAGTCTATCTAGATTAAAATATAATGTTCACTGCAAAAAAAAAGAAAAAAAAAAAAAAAAAAANAAAAAAAAAAAAAAAAAAAGAGGAAGAAGAAAAACGGACCACCCTAAATAACTTTTGATCTACTAATCGGAACTTCATGTTCTAGGACTCTATCTTAATGATTCGAGGGGGTGAACAGAAACATGCTAGTTAATTAGTAGAGAGTATTTTAAGTTACGAAATCAGATATAAAAACGTACCTTCACTGAATAAACAGACCTTTTTTTTTTACGGAAATCGGATTTCTGACCCCAAAATATAGGGAGTAGCCGGAATCTGGGAAATATGGTTTCCAAAGTTTGGTTAGGAGAGCGATCAAAGTTTGGACCCCCTATTGTTAATTTTATTTTCTGCGTATTTCGCAATATCTCAAGAACTTCTTACGAGAAATGAAAAATTTTTACACACAGATATAAAATTCGCATATCGAAAGATAATTTCACGCAAAATTTTTTTAAAAATATTTTATAGTTATTTTATTTAATAAAAAATAGTTACTGTATTTAATAACAACCGAAAAATATTTTCTTTTTAAGGTATAAAGTTTTTTTTACCAATTTTAATGAATCTAATTTTGCATGGCAAAATACAAATCGTGAACGAAATTGGTTGAATAATTTTTCAAATTTTAAACATACGACATTTTTAAAATTTTATTTCTCAGAAACTATTCAACCAATTTCCTTCAAATTTTTTAATTTAGCATGTGAAAATGGATGATGAAAAAATTTTACATCTTACAATTCAAATTTTTTTCGACTATAAATAAAATAATAAGAAATATTAAATATTTACTATATATTTTTTTGCATAAAAATATCTTTGGATAAACAAATTTCATAATTGTATGCAAACGCTTTTCAATTCGTTTAAAAAGTTCTTAAGACATGGCGAAATGCGCAAAACATAAAATTAACATTAGGGGTTCCAAACTTTGGATCGCTCTCCTGGCCTAACTATGGGGAGCATATTTCCTAGATTGCGACTTCTTTCTATATTTTGAGGGCCTGATATCCTATTCCATTGAAAAATGGTTTGTTCATTCAGATTAAGTACGTTTTTTGTGCTAACTTAAAACGTCGTATGCACTAATTAATTAGCACCCCCTGGATTGAGCTCTAGAAAGGGAAAATACGATCATTAGATCAAAAGTTATTCAGGATGGTCTGTTTTTATGGCACACTGTACAATAATTTACCATTAAGTTTCCAGCTTCAATCAATTCTGCATGTAGAGATTTCGTAATTTCACGTACGTTCATGTACAAACTGCAATTGTCCATGACGCAGAACTTTAAACTGCACTTGATCCGTTACATTAGTGCATACGTTAGCCTGTAGGACTGTACATATGTGAACACGTAGGACTGTACATTAATCTCTCAAGTATTAGTTCTTTTCCCCGTTGTAACATTTAGAAAAAGTTGTGCTACAAGGATTTTGCAGTACAGGAATTTAGACTTAAATATGAATGAGATCTTGCAGTGTTTATATAAATTAGATTTAGTTTTAATAAATAATGATTAATTCGCATTGTGGTTAAATGTTAGGCATTTTTAATATTGATTACATTTCAAAAAGTATGTTATCTAACATAGAAAAAAATGAAACAATACTTTTTCAGAAATTTTTTATTGTAAAAATAGAAATTACTATTAACAGAACAATAGTAAACCTTTCAACACAGCATTTACAGCTTTTGCTAGAGCAGTATTTACATATTTCTCTGGTTTGTCACCGCACCCCATTCATGTTAATAATTCTAAAATTGAAGTATAGAAGAACTCCCTTTTTGGCAATTTACAAAAATTAAGACAGGCCGCGATCATGTTAGGAAACATTTAGATTTTACAAAACTTATTCAAATAATAAAAAAGGTTCGCATGCAATCACGATAAAAAACAAAAACAAAAATGAAAATATAACAAAAAAGTAAAATATATACATTAAGAATATAAAATTATGAAACAAGAAAAATTTCCAAAGACTTTGTTCAAATTGTAACACATAAAATTAATCATTTTTAAGTTAAACAAACTAAAAAAAGTACATAAAATTATAGCAAATAATAAAATTATTGCACAGTTTACAAAGCTTCAATGCAATGAAAATGTTTGAAACGCATGAAATAATCACATAATGTTTTTGGAATTTAAAAAAAAAAATGAGTGAAGCATGCATATTTAAAAAACACGAATGTAATGGACTTTGTTCAATGATGAAATAAATTATATCACAGTCTGGTAGCTTGCCACGTTTGTCAATTTTGAAATCAATTTTTTTTAGTTCAACAAACCAATTTCAAAAATTAAGGAAAAAACGATACATAAATATAATTTAGATATATTTAATTTATCAATAAATTAAAATATAAGTTTAACTCTCTGAAAAAGATGGAAAAAAATTATGTCTTGGAAACATTGCACGTTTTAAAGTAAATTATACTTTGATAAATTAATTTTGATTGTTATTTATAAAAAAATCTGCAAAAAATGAAATTCTTGCAAGATGATAGAGTTTTCAAACATATTTTTCACTTAGAACTATTATGCAGTGAATCTTATCCGACTGCATTAAAAATTGCCTTTCATTTTTAAAGTAAGTCTTAGTAAATATAACATTATACAATGGATGTTAGAAGGTAGCTCTGAATCAGCACTTCAACTATTAATTATTTTTACTACAAAAATGAGTAAAACATCTTAAATTTAATTAAAAATACTTATATATAAACTTAAAATTAAGTAAAAACAATGTTTTGTAAAAAAAGTTAGCTGCATATGAAAGTAGTTTTGATTGAGAGTGATATGAAACCAATACTTTTGAAGTTTTTAATTATTTTCTTATCTTTTTCATTATGTCATAAAATGTTGTGTACAAGTTTTACAATATTAGTGTTTACTTTTTAAAAGTATAAATACAATGAATGTAGAAATATCTTCATTTATATTTGTGTAAAAAATATTTTAAACATTAATCTCAAAAATTCTTAAATCAAGTAATACAGCCGATTCATGGCTAAGACAGTTTTCATTTTAACAAAGCAACTTTGTACTTAAAAATATAAATAGCTGAAAAGAATACTTATATGGAATTTATAAACTCAAATTATATAATAAATATCTTACGGATGATAGTAGTTCCATAGAGCAATTATTTACATACTCGCTTCGATATCAACGAAATAAGTAGCTCGAGAATATTGCTTCAAGGGACAAGCTACGTTAACCTTGCAATTTGTAATTATTATTAAATATGTATAATTACTATTATGTATAATTATTAATTATACCAAAATATTGGAGGGTACATCCTGAAGTTCAGAACGTCACAAAAGGTCAGTTATAATAAAAACCTTTGATGTTGAGTCTTCAGTTGAGTTCAACAAAGGTTCACAATCAAGATTATCATATTTGGAAACTTACAAAGATGTAATCTGACGAAGAAGCTCCCTATTTGTAACTTAGTTTAGAATAGGGTTTCCAACAAAGAATAGGGAATTCTTTTTAAACTAGTTTTTTTTTTTAATCCGCTCATCTAAATATGAAATGGGTTTTCAGAAACCGAAAAACCACTCATATTCTTCTACAGTCACCTTTAACCATGTAAAAAAAGATTTGTTCTATGTCAAATAAAAATGCAGTGAAAAAGACGATATAATTGTTTGAAGATTGAAGTAGGTTTGAAAGAAATGGATCTTTTATTAAATAATGTCACTTAATATTTCATATTGAGAATCTTTCTCTCTTTTTTTCTTTTTAATCCATATTGAACAGACACATTCTGACATTTTATGCTTTGCAAAATGAAAATCTTAGGAATCCTAAAGAGGTATTTCAAAAAAAATATTTGTTTGCTTCTTTAATTATTTAAATTTTATATGCCAAAAAGAAGAGGCACTTAAAACATATAAATACATTTTAATTTGCAGTGAGAGTAGATATTATGAATAGCCTATTCAATTTCTATTCAATAGAAAATAGCACCAAATTTACCTTAAAAAAATAAAGGAATGAAATTAAAACATTGGGGATGATGAAATTAATTTTAATTGAATGCCTATTTTAAGATTGCCGGCAAAAAATAGAATTTATTAATGAATTAGTAAAAAAAGTTTCAGCTTATACATTTCTTATAGAATTCACACACAGTTTCACAGTAGCACAGTTCCACAGTAACACATACTTTATAAAGTATATACTATTTTTACTTAAGACGGATGAATTAAAAGCAACTTAATAAGTAATAGTTGTTTTCAGTTGTTGTTTCTTGGGCTTACTAAACCATTAATAGGCATTCGTTCAACGAGTAAGAGAGAGGAACCATGCATTGATTGTCCTGTAAGAGATGAAGAAACTATATTAAATGTTATCAAATTAATTAGTTTCAAAATTAAAGAGGCAACAGAGTTTGGTTAATTTTTTTCATAGGATCACGTTAAACTGTTACATTATTTTCTGTTTAAAATAATGGGAATGCTAATTTAATTAACTTGATTACTTTTGTAAATTAATTAATTTATTTTGTGTTCATGGATAAGGAATAAAACTGCTCTATGCTATAGTTATGCTAAGAGTCATTTTAAAAGATATTTTTGCTTAACAGGAATCGTTCATTTTTATCAACAGGTCAAAACTACATCTGTACATCCTGTTTGAAAACGAGGTAGTTATAAGTATATCAGTAATAGGTTATCTGTTTTCCCACAATCTAACTTAAAACGTGTTTAAATGTTGCTATCTTCCAATGCTCGAAATTTTTTGTTTTAAATAAATGAAATTAAAAATATTTTTCAGTAATTTCATTTAAGGGAACATATTTGCAAGAAAAAAAGATCTTTCATATAAAGTTCGAAAACATAAAATAAAAACGTCAATATTATGCAAACTTTATATTTAGAAGCAAATAAAATTTTGATATTGTGACATCGGGTCATTGAATTTTTTTATTAATATTTTTCCCTTTTCTCTTAATTTGCTAAGCAATATTTTTTTGTTTTGTTGTTTTGATTAATAATTTGTAATTTAAAATTTGATTAAAGAAAGGAAAAATTTCTTCCAAATTTTTGTTTTGCATTGTGGGTGTATTGCGACATCTGGTCACTAAATTACATTTTGCTATTTCTACCCTCTCTCCCTTTGAAGTTTGACACTTGGAAATTCTTAGTCTGCAAGGTGCATCTGTTCGTGTACCTCTGTAGTGCGATTTCGTCATTGTTTTGGTTTAGGCGTAACTTGCTTCTTCTCTGACTCTTCCAAAAATTAAAATCTGCCGAAAAAAGCTAAAACAAGTTTGTGTAGAACGTTAATTTTCTAAGGAAGAAATAAGCTCTGGTATAAATATTGAGACATCCCTGCAATGAACACATTCACACCCTTATCGAGCAATAAGTTGCAACAGCTAACAAATTTTTTTCACCCGCCCCAGTCCGGGGATTTCATGATGGTTGTTCGGGATTACTCCGACTGCGCGATCTAGCTGCCTTCTCGATTGTCATCAAATCGATCCTTGTGTTCTGAAGTTACTTTAGAATTCTTGCCGTTTATTCTTAAATGTTCCAACAATTACCTCTTCCTCCGATTTGTGACTAGCCTAAGGATGATTGTTCCAGAACTCGGGTTCATTTTGTGAGGGATGCCACCCTTCCTACATTTTGGAATTAAATGTCGACGAATTCTGCTGTCCCTCCATTAATAGCGGTTCAATTCTTCTTCAACAACGAACAGCGATGTTCCTTTGCTTAACTTGATCTATCCCGCCTACCGAAATGACGACCATTTTGTTGGCTTCACTTGAGAACCTTATGATCCAAATCAGCTCTCCTCCATCGAGATGCTGATGTAAAAGATATTATTTACATCCACTAACATTAATAAAATTTTCCTTTACCGGATGCTCCTGAACTCATGGTGTTCTTTGGTTTCTTCCAGTGTCTTCGGCACAGGTTGTTCTTCGGCACTGGTTTCTTCTAGTGTCTTCGGCACATTTTTTTAATATTTTCGCTGTTGATTTTCTTAAAAGAATACTACTGGGACAATTAAAATGTGGGTTGTTGCAAAATAATGTTAATGAATTACCATTTCGATCAATTATAGCCAAAATTTTATGTACTGCATGCATCTAATAATTCGTTTCACTAAAATGTGTCTTAATTTATATAATAACATAATTTAAGTAATGATATCGAGAAATTTCCATTAACCATAATTTTTATTTATTAACTACCTTAATTTTTAATAATTTATTTTCAAATTTCTTATTTACTTATCCACAAATTAAGATTTTTTTTGATTAAATTTTTCATTATAACTTATTAACAACTAATATTGATATTTTATTTTACTAAGGCACAATTATCTTTGATTGATCTTGATTTAGTCATATCTAACTTCAAAATTTTCTTTTGAGTGAATCATTGAATCATTGCTTCCATTCACCAATGTACTGTCGTTTGAAAAGTATAAGTCTACTCATCGTTAATTTGTATTTTGCTGTAACATTGGTCATCGACATAAAAATACTGTAATGACTTACTTTGCAATGCACATCTCTCAGCAATAATTTTACGATGTCTGGGCTTCAAAAAACAGTGATGAAAGATTAAATAAGAAATGGATATGATGATACAGATGCATGACATTGTTCTGTAGGAAATGCTCATGGAATAAGACTCTTCTAAGTATAAAACAAATGGACAACCGATCATTTTACCTAAAAATATCGAAAACAGTTTTAAAATTTAAAGTAACAAAGACAATCATGGTATAGTAATGTTCTAAATTAAATGTGCAATGCTAAAAATAGTTTGTGTTTGTAGAGTGCTTCTGAAACACATAAAAAATGTAGTAGTCAGAGCACTGAAATAAGATTTTTGTTTACTTTAAACATATATTCTTCCATTGTTATGAAAAACTATTTAAAACTTCTGAGCTGAATTAGTGTGGCGTTTCCACGTTTTTCGAATTACCATAAGAATTAAAAAAAATTTTAAATTTAATCAATGATGGGCTTTAAGTGCAATGGTTTGGGAACGCGTCTCTCTTTTGAACATTACTTCCCATAGGTGGATATCAAGAACTGGAACTAGAGTTCATTACGAAGATATCTTTGAGAACACCTTCAGTTTAAATCGTAGCTTCATTTTCCATCAAGCTAATAATAAGAGACACCGATCCATGCGCATCCAGGACTGGTTCGTCCACTGAAATAGGACTTTATTTAACTGACCACAGACCAGACTATAGATATTAAAATTATAGTGGTAAATGGACTTAACTGGAGCGTCATCTTGTAGGAAGAAATGCAAAGATTCCGATTTAAAATTCGCTTAAATTTAAGAGGAATAGAATAAAAATCGCTTCTTCATTTATTCGAGCACTTTTTGATTCTATGCTTCTGAGATGCTAAGCTATTGTTGATGTCAATAGATTTGCCAAATTTGTTTTTAGTTAGTTTTTTTACTCTTCAATTTTTCATTGATTTAAGCATCAAATTAATGCCTGAAAATACACATCAATAAATTAAAGCTAAAAATTATGAGTTTAATATCTATTTTATAGATACTATATATGCTTAATATCATTTAAATGAATTTGAAAAAAAATTAACGATGGAATTTAAAGTAACAACAGGATTATGTCTCCAAAGCATTTTTTCTATGATTTCCTTTCAATTTAAAAACTTTAAATAATAAATTATGCAGTGATTGTACTTAAAGTTCGTCATGAAATATGTGAGAATTTTCAGCATGTTACTCAGCTGAGAATTCCACTAACGAGCAATCTATATGTCTAGACATTTTATGTTGTAGAACCTAAGTAAATCTAAAATCCTGATTCGCAAGCATATTTTTATCAATTTTAAATAATTAATTATTTAAAAAAAAGCGAGAATAAGGCATCATTTATTCAAAACTCTTTAGTTCAAGTTTGTTTAGGTTGTGGTCATTTAAATATTCTGAACAAAGCTCCCAGTAGTAAGAGGTGAGATGTAGTGCGAAGTCTTACACTAACATACGCAATCTTATTTTGTTAAAAGGAATCATCAATAGTAAATACTACCTATATCAGTGTGTTTACTTAATTAAAAATAAGAAAAAGAAACGAAAAGAACTTAAATTATTTTTGTTCAGAGAAATCAACAGAACGGTATCAATTCAAGAGCAGAAAATTTGAAAAATGAAACAAAAAGCCTAGTTATTTTTGCAATATACCAAATTTTCTGTTTAATTGTGTAGAAGATACTTTGAAATATTGTGTAGGGGGGAGCTATAAGTTTGGTTGATCTGTCGAATTTTGCTGTCTATACCTTTGACTGCACGCACTAATGAAAAATTTTTCTGAATCCTTTTTTGTGCATGCTCCCATGTGGGAATTAAAAGTTAAACGCCAATATCGTGGACTTCTTTTCCTGGATAGTTTAAATGTCAAATTTTTATCTAAAAAGACCATTATCACCTTAGTTTTGAAGAAGAATATAAAAAATAGTGTTATGATAAAGTTATGCCAAAGACCAATTGAAAATTTAATCAAAAGAATGCGAATGCACCAGTACAGTCAAAGAAGGCTTTTCTCAAATGTTTGTTAAATGTATATTTGCAATTTATTTATTTTGAAATTTGAAAAAAATCTGTTTCAATTAATTAGCTGTAATAGATTATTTGGAACTAAACATTTCTAGTCTTAGGGCATTCCGTACACGTTTACCAAGGCGCAAATTTTATTGATATTTACACACGGAGTAATTCAAACCTGTATATATGCATAGCTCTATGCATAAGTATATCATATATGTATAATTATAATTATTATGTTCTTGTTGGAGAAAGGAGAAAAACTTTGCATGTAACAGGTAAGGTAAAATTTTTTCTTCTAATTTGGTAACACTTGCTTGCCTTAAACTGTATGAATTCTTTTCACTATTGTTGGACTCATCTACACTGAACTTAGTTCTAGAAAAGTATGCTTAACTATTAATAATAGGATTCTCACTAATTGAAAATCCCCAATTTACAGATCCCACTTATTTAACAGAAATATTAAATTTTCATGCTTTAAACAAAATACATACGTTATGAATTAAATATTAAAAGAAAATATAAATCTACAATTCATATATTTAGATTTTTTTATAGAATTTAATACCAGCTTACCAATGCCAAAATGAGCAACTGCGAGAACATAATGCATGGCGATGCGTTTTCCTTTGGAATTATTATGTTCTGCTGAAGCAACTAAAGCCAGCCAAAGAATAGGTATTGTAAAAGCTTTCATTGCTTCGAAGGGTGTAGCCCACCACCAGTGGTCCCATTCCTCGACGAAAGAGAGTCCAGCTAGATGAATAGCATGAAAAGCAAATGCTGCTGATATAAGACTAGCTTCTCCAATGTTTTGTAGTAAATTTTTGGCAACCCAGAGAAATGGTATACAGCAGAAAAAAAAGATAGATTGTGTTGCTCCAAGCATTAGATGATTAAAACCAATGTTTTCGTAAAGAAGAGGATCGAGTTCCTAAAAAAAGAAAATTATAACATTCAAACATTAATTCAAACTTTTGCAAAAATTAGTATAGATATTGGTATGAGCTGATCAGTTTTGGAGCAGTCCATGCAAGTAGACTCTAAGTGTTATAAATGAATTCAATTGATTCGTTACATGGTGACTAGTTTCAGTGATGGTTGTACAAAAGAAGTCACTCATTAAAAAGAAGTAAAAGATGTAAACATTCATTATTAGTAAGCTGATCAGCGTCCTCCCAAAACTGGTAGCAAAATTTCTACACGGATATTTGAAAACTCTCCTTAATAATATTTAAAAAAAACATTTTTGTTGGAAAATCTCCTTGAGGGATTTCTGTTCTCTGAATACTAAATTGGAAAGGTAAAACAGTGATTTTATTTCCAGTTCTTTAGTTATGGGAGAACTAAACACCTATGGAGAACACCTTATTTATTAGGCTTTATAAACACTAAACAATAAACACTAAAAAACTCTTATGTTTAATTGCTGATCAAAATCTAGTCATATTTTTCTTTTCTTTTGCTATATTTATTATATAATTGAAATAAAATGCACAGTTTGAGATTTGTGCCTTATTAAGGGGACACGGGACCTTGAAATCATAAAATTTTCAAAAAAAATTTTTTTTGTTAAAAATATAAAGATAGTCAGCCTGAATCACGTGTTGTTCAAATTTTTTCGATACGATGATTTTTTATGATTTTATAGCTATTTTTCTGAAAAGTGGGCGTGGCACTTTTGACGTTCCATAAGCTGTCTGTTTGTTTACATTGTAGTTATCAAGCTTATTTTGATTTTTTTTTATGTTCAAATCAATATTTCTATAAAATATTTTTTAATTAGTATAGCATATAAATTAATTAATTAATATAGCATTAGTATTGAAATTTTCTAGCATGTTATCGAAATTCTGCAATATGCTTTTCCTATGTCAATGTCAATAATTTTTTTATTTATCTGGTATCAAATATATTATTTGTTTTATTAAAATTATAGAGAATAATGTTTTTAGTGTAATTTTTATGCACACAAAAATAATCTTTTTTCTTTGTTTCAAGGTTACATATGACATATTGATATGATGCATAACGAACAATATTTTTATGTAAAAATCGTTTGTATTGGTAAAAATTTAGCATTTATTATATTAAGAATACATCGGAAGTTCTTTTTATATTTTAAGCATGATATTATAGCTATTACAGTGAGTTTTAGTTAATTTACACAAAAAAAGTAGTTTTTCTCCGTTAACTTTTTTTGCATAATTTACTTCTATAATTTGTCCCTTGTGTCTGAATATTTGAAAATTTTGCCTGAAAATTTTTCATATGCTTCATATGACTGTTATAAAGACAATGTAGCATTGTTTTCACGAAATATTAATTATAAAGTTTTTTATACAACTTTAACTGTAGGAGGAAATGAAAATTTTCGAAAAAAAAGCGTCGGAACTAAAAAAATTTTTTTTTCTCAAAACCTGTTGAAGTGAAACAATAACTGATGCTAGAGAGTCTTTATATCATCATTATCTATCTATAGAAAAAATTTTAAATTATTTGGATGAAATTTCAGACACAAGGGACAATTTTTGTATTTTTTAAAATTTTCATATTTTATTAAATTTTTAAAAAAATTTTGACCAAAAATGTTTTTACTTGGCCTATTTCCTAAAATATGCTAAAAAATAAATAAATTATGTTCATAATAGTAAAATTAAATTAAAAAACAAGTTTTCATAAATTTTCATTTGAAAGGTCCCATGTCCCCTTAAACACTTTTAGAGTTCAAATTTACTGCAAATTTAGTATGGTGCCAGGCTGAATCATTTTGTAGTACATATTAATGCTTCTAAAATTTGGTTATACGATGCTATTATTTCAACTTGATCGGTTTAATTTAACAAATGTTAGATGTTTAGATCCTAAGGAATCAGTGCTCAGACAAGCTTCCCCTGGCAGTTATATCAGCAGTTATTCTCCTAGGCATCGAATCGAACGGATATTGGATAGCATGGACGGGTACAGCATTCCATGCAGCACAATTCATCGACTGTAGTAACTGACGAGTGGTGGCGTTCCAGTCGTTGGACAACTATTGACCAGACGTTTTCGATAGGTGAGAGATCTGGAGAACGTGCTGGCCAGAGCAACAAGCGAGCAAATTATATTATAATGCAAAGTTTAAACGATTTATCTGATTTTGTACTTTATATATATGCACACGCATTACTGACCATTAAAATTGCTACATCAGGAAGGAATGCAAGTAACAGAAAGATATTTATTGGGCACATACATTATAGTTGAAAGAACAAGTGTAGAAGAACAAGTGATTAAATTTTCAGGATTTTTGGATGTTTAGATCCTAAGGAATCTGTGCTTAGACAAGCTTCCCCTGGCAGTAATATCAGCAGTTATTCTCCTAGGCATCGAATCGAACGGATATTGGATAGCATGGACGGGTACAGCATTCCATGCAGCACAATTCATCGACCGTAGTAACTGACGAGTGGTGGCGTTCCAGTCGTTGGGCAACTATTGACCAGACGTTTTCAATAGTTGAGAGATCTGGAGAACACGCTGGCCAGAGCAACAAGCCAGCATGTTCTGTGTCAAGGAAGGTCAGGACAGTGCGGGCAACATGCGGTAATGCATTGTCCTGCTGTTATGAGGCCTCGAAGATTAGGCAGTGCAACTGGCCCTAACACATCAGAAATGAAACGGCTGCAGCTCAAAAAGACGACAATGCGAACTGGAGGTGATCAAAACGTGTATCCAATGGCACTCCTTACCATTACTCCAGGAGATGGGCCAGTATGACTATGTCGAATGCCAGCTGCCAATGGGCGTTCTCTACGATGTCACCAAACACGGATGCGACCATCATACAGAACCTGGATTTGTCTGGAAAGTCGACGTCATGCCATTCCTGTTTCCAGGTTCGTCGTTGATCACACCATTGGAGGCGCTTCTGCCTGTGATGCAGCGTCAAGGGTAGCCGAAGCCATGGTTACCATGCTGACAAGTCCATGCTGCTGCAAACGTTGTCAAACTATTCGTGCAGACACTTGTTGTCTTACAAATGATCCCATTTGTTCGTGACGTGGCAGTATGATCCCTTAAGGTCTGTAGATAACATGTCTGTTTTCTCGGCTGTTAGTGATGGGGGGGGGGGCAGCGCAGATCCTGCGCGGCGTTCCATATGACAACCATGAACACATCGATTCAATATTCTGTTAACAGTCATGGGATATCGACCAACGCGAGCAGTAATACTTCGGTATTATAAACCACAATCCCAGTAGGCCACAATTCGACCTCAATCAAACTCAGACTCGTGCTGGTAGGCATTTCTCCTTCTTACACGAGGCATAATAAGAGCTTTTTTACCCAAGAACAAAGCTTGAATTCAATTTCTGTATGAGAAACTTACTGTCAAATCTCTTCTTTTATACGCATTGTAGGTCTCGCTACCGCCGCCGCCTGCATTGCATGAATGCGCTGATAAGCTAACCATTTGCATACCACAACACGCCTTATCCATCCTACAAATTTCAAGTTTGGGGTGTGTCACCTTCCTGGTGCAGCAATTTTAATGGCCAGTAGCGTATGCATATATATGTATGTATATATATATATAATCCATNATTGTTGTGAGGGAATGACGCGAAACACTGGGGACAAAGTTTAAAATAGTGCTGTGTTAATATTTTTATCAGAAATTAAATTTAAAATTTATTTTCTGAATTCTATATTTCAATATTCTCAAATAAAAAACACAAATTTGTAAAAAAAAATTTTTATTTCAGAAACAATTTTTTTCTTTTTTTAAATCAGCAGTGGGGACAAGTGAGGGAATGACATATTGGTATATTTTTATTACCTAAAATTAATAAAAAATAAAAATTGATAATTTTATTTTTATTCTTTTGTTAGCTTGAATTCTGAAGGACACTTTCCCTGAAATTTTTTTTTTCGTAAGTTGTAAAACAAACATAAAATATACTGGGGACATGAAAATGACTGTTTTTGTGAGAATGACCCATATATATATATATATATATATATAGCATGCATACTGTAAATAAATTTATTCCTTTTTTTTAAACGATGGTGAAAATAATATTTTTTTTTCTAGACATTTACCGTAGCTTTTAATTTGCGAAAATGAGCCATGGTTCATTTGTAAAAAGAGCACGTTTAAGAGTTTTCAGCTTAGAGAGATAACATGAGGACTTTATTCCAATCTGCTAGAAAATCGCGTTAGAAACCGCTACACAATCGATTTTCTTTAATTGAACCATTTTCTGTTAGGTGAGGACTACAGATACGAACTATTCTTGTTAACTCCTTGTTTTTAGTAGAGTTGATAGTTTTCGCCTTTTATTCTATTTGGTCAGATCAAATCAGAATATAAAATAGCAAACAATGTCAAAATGGACTCTTTAATTTGTGTAAAAGTATTTTGAAATGTTTAGAACTTTTGTGCGTGATTAATATCATTTTTGTGCTTTGCGAAAATAAAATAATTTCTAAATAATCGATGGAATGACTAGACACTATTTAATGTCTCCTATAACATGCATAAAATAAATGTTTATTCTTTTTTACTAATACACAGATGTTTGTTTGAATACCTTTAGGCATTAAAATTACTGCTTTAAGAAGTACGAAAACTTCTCCTTCATTCTCTGATTTGAAGTATGTTTATGATGCGTCTACTTAATAGTATTCTATTTAAAATAAAACAGGCAAAAAAATATATACTGTGAAATTTTGCCAGTTTTTGGGTGAAACAAGATATTTTGATTGCCAGAATTTGAAAATATATAATTAATTGTATTTAGCGATTAAGCTTAAAGTTTAAAGTTAGAAACTATTTTTTACCCTTACAGTTCGAATCCATTTACTTATGATTGAAAAACTGCAAATACCAAATTAAATGGTTTTGTAACCGTTTACAACTAGCACGATTTCAAATCCGTAAAAAGGAAATTTTACTGAGGATTCGACCTAGGTTATGCTAGGCTTTTCATTAGGTATTGAACATTGGAGTAAGGTTGTGATCGAGTAGTGTTTCGTCTAATGCACCGTAGAATATGTTTAATTAGTTTATCTATTGGTGCAATCTATTGAGAGATAGAGTATTTTGTGTTAAGTAGCTCTGTGGTGCTACCATCTATACGTTAAAATGAAGGTCTTGTATTACAATGGTCCTGGGTGAGCAATCGGGTAGTGCAGAGCACTGGAAATTCTACATGAGTTTAAAGAATGAAAGAAATATTGTGCAGTCAATACTGAGTTTGTAACAGTCATTCAGTAGTTCATGAGATAGACAGATTAGCCTCTTGTTTTCATAATTATACTTTTTGCCACAAAGCACTCCGTTTCCACAGGTACAAATGATATAGTATTTTTTGAGGTACAAATGATATTTTACGTTATCATTAATAAAATAATGGTTGCTTAAATATATATAAATTTTAAAAAAATTAAAAATAATTCTATTAAAAAGAACAAAAAAAATCAAAGAATAATTAAAAATAATTGGCAAAAAATCATGTCAACTGTCGAGTTTTAAGCATTTGCGCCGTGGGTGAAAAATATAGGTGATCTTTTTTTTCTTTTGGGAAGAAAGCGAATAGCGAATTCTTGTAATCTCGAAATAAATAACATTAAAAGTCTGAGCTTCTAATTTTTTTTTAAAAAAAATGATTTCTTCTCGCATTAAGATTTTACGTTACACTTGTACCATTATGGTGCCATTTATGTAACACATGGTGCACACTCCATGTGGCATTATAATGCGATTTATCATAATGCGTTTATCTTCTGCACACTTTGTTTTAGTAACTCAGTTGAAATATTTATAGTAACAAAATTTCATTGTCTTAAAATTGTTGAAAAATAACAAATTTTAGGTTTGTAAAGACACCATCAGTTTAAAAAACAGGTGCTCCTGCTTATATACAAATCTGAATATTTGCAAACCTTTTAATAGTTTGCTTTAAATCAGGCAACTTACTCAGGTTTTTCGGAATAAGATTTCTAGTTCCCCTAATAAATTCATAACAACTTCTTTCGTTTAACAATTACCATAAGGCAAAGGTTATTACTGATCCATATGCATATTTGTACAACAGGTATATAATTTCTTTCATAAATTTGAAATTTTTATGAATGCATTTGTACTGTAAAAGCTGTTAGATTAAATAACTAATAAATAAGGAATTAAACTAGTAACTAATAAATAATGAATTAAACTACACTCTTTGAGAAATTATTATTGCGCGTTTAACCATAATATAGTTCAAATTTTTTGAAGTCTGAATATGTTGTTAAGCTAATTTACATTATTATATTTTTTAAATTTGGTTATCAGATAATATGACTCAACTTGAATGGAAACATTCACATTCATTCAATACCTTTTATGATGCAACAAATTTCTGCCGCATAAGTGCCTATATCATGTCTCAATGTTGAACCAGTATTTCTGATAGTATAAAATGAAATTGATTCAGCAAATGCAATTTATAATTATTTTTTCTTTCCTTTTTAAGTTTGCTTAATGATTTCCGAAATTAAAATTAGAAAAAATAATAATAATTTCATAAATAGAGGTAATAATAATCGTTGTAATTTAATTTGCATACACTTTCAGAAAAATTGATTTAATGTTAAACCATAATACCTGTAATCTAAAATATGCTATCACGCAAAATTGCTGCAACCATAATAAAGTGCTTCAATTGACCATGTTTCCGCTTTTGTTGAACCGTGCTAAGGAGTAACTATTGTCTTGATAATATAGTTCAAATGCACACAGTAAGAAAGTTCAATTAAATTTTAAAAAAATTACTAATTTGACATTAAACTAAGAAAAAAAAACTGTATTTTTTCGAATTTCCTCGTTTTCAACAAAGGAAATATTAATTAATTTTAAAAATCTCATGTTACAAATATTTGTTATGTATGTTCCTAATGACTGACGTATAAAATGCGTTGGTGATAATAAAAAAAGAACAAAAGAATCACTAAAAAAATTTAAAAAATGAAACTCTGGAGGAAAAAAAATTCTTTGGAATTTAAATAACTCAATTTTATTAAGTCATCAAAAAAATTGTAGGTTGGATATGCTATCTTTAGCAGCGTTATATGATATTAGCTAAATATTTTACCGCTCTTTCTTTTCTTTTCATTTCTTCTTTTGAAAGTTACGTATCTTACTTGCTTAAAGGAAACTCCGTTAAATATTAAAACATTTCAATTCTATTGAAATTTGAATATGTATGGGTACAATTTAGGGGTCGCATATGTATGAGTATGCATGAGTACGATATGTATGAAAGAGTTTTTACGGGGTTTTTGAGTTCATGAGTGTATTTAGATCTAGTGTTAGTCGGTTCTAGAGTTGGTTGAACAAAGATCGAACATCAAAACACACTCCACAACTAATATTCACTAAAATAAGCTGACGGTAAGAGTTTGGTGGTCTTGCGAAGGCATGATCCATGCTGATTTCATGCGATTTCATGAGACTCAGCTCATCGAAAGCAATTGGAATATACTGCAACTAATTGGATGAAATCATACAAAAACTTAAAAACAATTGCATAGATTGCTCAGCAGATCGTCCTCTTATTGCTCAAATGACTAACGAAACTACAGAAATTAGAACTTCTTCCTCATTTCTAGACTCACGAGGCTGAACCCCTCCCTCTTCCTTACAAATCAGGTGCAAAGCAAAAGGTTTTGGTTATTAAGTTTTTTTAAAGGGAAATAAATGCCCCAAAACTTTCTTTCCAGGAATTCATTTACTCGCGTTCATTAGGGTTTTATCTCACTTGCTTGGACAACTTGCTGCTTACTGTGTAAGTGTGGAGAAAATATGGCAGCGTACTTTGATGACTGAAATAGTTTCGTATATCTATGAAAAAACGTATATTTTTTTTAAACGTATACGTATATTTTTTTTTCGAATTTCTAACTTGACAACCGAGCATTTAGATTTTCAGTAAAACTTTCATTCTACGTTGATGGAAAAAAGACGTTTAAGTTGAACTTTTTCTGTTTTTAAAGATAAATTTTTACTGTAATTGAAGATTTAATGTGCTGGCAATCAAGTCTCAATCATATTTTCGTTTTTGCGCTAAGGAATCTACGATTTAAAAACGAAAATTAATTTTCTAATAATATAACTGCCTTTAAACATTAATATTAAGAAATATTTGTTGGATTTGAATACATTACCTGACAAACTCCCCATGCAGCACCTGCGAATACAGCTATTATAGAAACTATCATCATTTCCAAAGACACCACTTTTTCTGGTTCGTCTACATAGGTTCTTGTGTTGGGATCCATTGAAATTGTGTATCGAAAGGTATTACCTCCAACTGGTAATGGTAAAATATATATAAGAGAAGAGACAACTAATTCACAAGCTGCAAATATGAAATAGGCTGGAGTGTAATCCGGTGTTTCCGCTATATTTGTAAAATAGTCCACCAATGGTCCAATAATGAGCGGAAATATAATCATCGAGCATGCAGGCCATATTCTAGTTCTACCATAAGCCCCACGATGATATGCTCCGGCTAAAAAGAAATGGAAATATTTCAAGTAGGGATAGTTTTTAAAACTAATGTAGATTTTCAAAAAAGAACTAAAACTGTTGCAGGATTAAAAGTTATTATTTTCATTTTACATTGCAATGAATTACCATGAATGAAAAACTGCAGTGGCTTGCAGGGAACAATTGGAACAACAGCTTAGGCAACTAGTTAAAGAGATCATTCAATCGAAGATACTAAGTTTGAACAAATATTTTAGGAAAAATATGATTTTTGAAAGAAGAACATAAATAATGGAATAAATGCATCAAAACTTAAATTTAGTAAAATTAAGGATATTTGTTCGAAATAATGAACTCTTTACCATGGAATAATTTACGCATTTATATAAAAAATAAATTTAATTTAGATATTAAAATTTTTATTGGTATATATTTTTCTATTGTTTGTACACTATTTAATGAATTTACTTTCTTTCTGCACGTCACTAAAATAAAACCTGTTGGTTTTGGAATCCTCAATAAGTTAATACATATATATTCCCAATAGGGAGATATTTTAATAGTCGCCTTAGCTAAAATCGAACAACAAAACTCATTAATGTCAAAACTGCAATTTCCTTATAAACTGTTTAAATCAATATTAGTTGCCAAAAAAAATCAATTGTGAATTGAGAAATTAAAATGTTTGCCTTAAAACACATTGTTTTATTTGAGAAAATCTAAAATTTGCACAAATCTGAAGCATAAGGTAAAATGTTAAAAACTCAAAATCTGTTGAACCGATTTCATTCAAATTTCAGATTTTGTTGGTTAAAACTACGCAGTTTTAGCTAACAAAACGTAAATATGTTTCAGTTATGGTCAAATTAAAAAATGAAAAGATAAATAAATTTTTCTTATATAAACTTTTCTAGAGGTCTTATATACTTATATTTCTTACATACAAATTCTACAATTAAAATTAAATTAAGATAAGAATATATTTAGATTCTCTTAAATAGTTCCTGACATCTGTCAAAATTCACTGAAAGTGAAATTTATATTAAAGGTCCCAAAATTTTTGATAGCTCCCCTGTTTAAACTATTAGAACCGTATTTTCCAGTTTACGGCGAAACCCATATTTTGAGGGGAAAGAATGCAAATCCGCCAAACGAAAATTTATTTATTCAGAGGAAGTATATTTTTCGATCTTATTTCTTATTTTTTAAAATATCGTCTGCACTAGAACACAAGAAAAATTGCATATTTATGGTTATCCATTTAGATTATAACCTCGATACATTAATATTGCATGACAGCATTTGACAATCCGACCACAAGAGTTATTAGTGTGTTATTTTGAGGGACGATCAAAAATTATTTGAATTTTAAGGTATAATAATGTTTATTTTATTTTTAAAAAAAACAATTTTAAGTGAGAAAATGCAGCTTTTGATCGAAATCAGCACAATATTTTCTGAGTTTTGAAACCATTGTCGTTTATTTAAATTGTTTTTTCAAGATTTATTCACCCGATTCCGTAATAATATAAAAATTAAATAAATAAGTAAATAAAATAAAATAAAAAAATAGCATATTAAGATTACAAATTCGAACCATAAAGATTGCATGCCACCACTTGACAATCTGATCAGTAGAACAAAAGTTATTGAGGTGTTCCGTTTTTATTTTGTGCTATAGAAATCGAAGTTAGTACATATTATCATTAAAACTGAGAAAAAAACGCCATAGAAAATTGTCGCTCACTCTTGATATTACTATTCATAGAAACCTGTTTTTTAGCCGAATTAAATATTTCTTTTGTTACGTTTTTAGTGATGATGACATAACATGATTAAACGGAAGATGAATGCATCAAGCGTGAAAGAAGACATGAATTAAATATTAAGTAGATGAAACAACTGTTGTGACATTCGTTTAGAAACTTTTCTAATTTTGATATGGCAGTGTCACGATAATAAATATCCTTGTTTAAAATATAGAAATGATATCATTAGAAGATTATTTAATCATGTTGCATGCGTTATCTCAAAATAACCCTTGTAATTAATATGAAAAGCTTACCTGTAGTTATCGGTTTAAAATATATGTATTATTTTATGTGAGTTTAGGAATCTGTAGTAATTTTCATTGGGAATGTACGGTTGATGCCTTTATAATAGAAAGTTATTGTGTTTTAGTAAACGGAATATTAAAAATAAATATAAAAAGTTAGTAGTAAAGGCAGTTTAAATAAGCGATGGTAATTTGAAAAAATATAAGAAGTAAGTAAAAATATTATTTAAAAAATTAAAAAAGTGATTTGTAATATTACTAATACAAAGTGGTGCTAATTTTAAAAAAAAGTGAGTTATAGTCGTAATTTGAAAAAAAAAAGTAATGTTAAGGTAAAAAAATAAATAAACAATAAAAAAGTGAGCGGATAAATGCAGTATGCAAAATGAATATAGATACCAGATAGATAACATTTATAGCATACAGCACCAGATACCATGGATACCATTATGATTCAAGTACAAATTGCGCAATGAATTAGTACTGTAAACACTGAATAACTTAGTTTCTGTTTAAAAAAAATAAAATTTTTTGTTACATAAATTTATCATGATTTTTATAATTAAGCATATTTTGAGAATGATTAAGATGATACAATTTTTTCACATACACGCTATTTTTTATCATTCATGCTTTTATGGTGGTTTAAATTTGCATAACTTTAAAATTACTAGTGTCGAAAAATCAGCCCAATTTGTTGATTTTTGCTATTTTCAGATTAAACTCATCTTTAATAGATAAACTTATTCAACAGAAAGCACTTTATTCCGCTTTCATAAAAATTTCTCTGCATACAAAAAAAAAGAGTTTTTGTCGCTTGCGATTGACATTACACAGGAAATGTTCACGTGTTCTGTGAATAGCAAAATAATAATTGCAAACAGATTGTTCGCAGCTGTTAAATTGACGCGACTCTTACATCACATTTTAAAAGGTTTAACTCTTTTCAACTCACTTATGTCATTATCCTCTAAACCGTCGCTGGTCAATTTATGCGAAATGCATTGCAACGACAATACAATTTAACTTTTGAATTTTCCTGTAATTCTACTCATCAAAAGATATTTGCCAAGTTATAAATCACCAGAGTGACAATTTATAAGAAAGTGCATTGACATTAGTGTTTTTATAAATTTATATTCACTTTTTTTGTCTGTCCGAGACCACCACATCTTCATTTTTACATAGAGACTTATAACATTTATCTAATTAAATCAATTGTACTTTAAATAGTTTTTAAAAAACTTGTTTCTGTTGCGTGGCAACAGTGAAACTGATTATTTAGGATCAACAGAAAGCCATGAAATCCAGAAAGAGCAGAGAGCCGTGGAAACCAGAAAGCCACGAAACTTCATTTCGGACAATTAGCCAGCTACACTTGGATCAAGTTATTAACTGTTCTTAGTTTCGTTGTTCTTTAGTAAAATTAAAATAACTTTTTGTTCATGAAATAAATAGTTAAATCGGCTTAAATTTATTCCACAAAAAGAGTTCTTTTTTTCGTTGAAAAAAGTTTCTGTGGAATTAGCGTATGTTGATGTGAAAAATTTTAAAATATTTTTCAACAAACAAACTAAATGAAAAACTAAAAATTGAAATAACTAAAGTAGGAATTAGGAAAGTAGGAAAATTCAATGCCAATATAATACCGAATAAATACATGTGATGAAAAATAATTAAAATTGTGAAAAATTCCCTAGAGGAGCATAAATTGCTATGTTTGATTTTGATTATGTAGTATAAATAATAAGCACAAAAATTCTACATATAATTCAAATATCAATGAACCAAATGGTTTATTTATAAATTACTATACCACATATGAAACACAGCTGATTGTAAGAACTCGTTCATACTTGTCAATAGCTATGGAAAATTAAAACTAAGGAAAAAATAAATTTTTGAAGAAATTTTGTCAACTTTTTTGTTTCATTTTTCATTGAAATACGTGGAATTTTAAGATCTTCATTAATTAAATCCCCGTAAAAAATTTTTTTTCTTTATAATACTTAAATACATTTTAAATATTTAATAATGAAGGTCTACAATGGGTTAATATTAAGCTTAAATTTTTTTTCTTCTTATGAGCAAATGTCACTTGCGGGACGACTTAGCTCAATTTTCCCTCGTGTCCCACTAGTGATGAACTAACGGTAAATTAGAAAAAATAATAATTGAAATATTAATATTATTTATAGCATTACCAAAAATATTGCAAAGCATTTTCAAAAGTTTATACTTTATGAAAATTAAAATGATAGTTAAATTACTTTTTTTCCGATTTGCTAAATTCCTGGATTTATTTCAAAAAATGAAATTTTTACAATTTCAGCTCCATCCCTCACGTGATGCTTGCTTCAATTTCATAAAAAAACAATTTTCAGACTTTTTGAAAAAGTACTTCTCTTAAAATTTAAAAAATCCTATTTTATTAAAATTTCGCATGATTAATATTTTTTAAATATGAAAACTACAGCACATTTAATAACGAAAATGCCGTAAAAAATTATTCTCCTCGTGACTGTGAAAGGGTCCTATAAATAACATGATATATAACTTCGTTATTGAACAAGATGAATTTAAAGTTGAGTATACCATAATTGAATAGTCCATCATTCAGCAGAGATGAACTGAATATGCAAATTGTTTCAAATGTCGATAATTTCGTGCTCATAGACTTTATTGCATCGATGGTTTCGCGCACAAGGGCTTCATTTACAAAGCGTATGTTGTTTTACTAAGAACTTGTTTGAGAGTTATTTCATTCAAAAGTCATATTTTCATCGTATTTAGGATTTTCACAAGGAATACTTAATTGTAAATTCATTGATGATGATAATGAGAAAGTGGCCTTTTAAATTTACAGAAAAATAAGTAAAAAAAAAAAGCTTAACATTCGAACATAATAGTTATTAATTCGGAAAAAACGGCATTTTGACACTATGAAACTGTTAACTGTTCATCTGGTAAGAGAAAAATCTGATACAAATACCAAAGCTCAAGAGCTACGTTAGTTCAAACTGTTGACGTGAAAAGAGACAACAGTCTATCTGCTGAAAATGAAAGCTAACATTTCAATTTATCTCTCATGAATTATTTCAGTCTATTCCAATTTATCTCTGAATAAATATTTCAATCTATTATATGTTAAATATTTTTTTTAAATATCATTAAATATTTTGATCAAAATTTATCTCTAAATGTATCATTATTTATTATTTCAATCTATTTTAATTATTCTTTGATGAAATATTTCAGTATATTTCAATTTATCTCCGATTAAATATTTCAACATATTTCAATTTATCTCTGACTTAATTTCCATTTAAATTCGTAAACTGTATTTTTACGAGCCATTAATCTTTCTTGTAAATAGTTAAATAATTCTTAATGATTAGGTTGGCTATCTTTTATTAGTTTTACTTACAATTTTCTGTATTCAGTTAGGTCATAATCTGTTGCTTGTACGGTTAACAGAAAGCAATGGTACAATGTAATTACAAATCTACATAAAAACGTGACATTATTTAAGTAAACGTGAATTATTTAAATATTAAGAAATTAAGTAAGTTTCGTGAAATTATTTTACTAAGTAATCATTAAATAAGTATAAGTAATTAAGTGATATTATTAAGTATAAAACATAAGTAAAATACTTATGTTTGAAAAATTAAGAAACAAAATTAGCTTGTTTTTTCTCTTTGTTAAAACTCATTAATTATCTGTTTTTCTAGAAACATTTATAACTAGGAGAAAAGTTCTTTATATATGAGACACTTTTTTAAAATTAAAATTAAAACATAACAATTGTTATAATGCTCATAATTAGGTTTGAAGTTTTGATAAAGTTTGATGTTCCACGCCTAAAAAGTTAGTTTTTGTGTAATTTTGAAATCAAGTAATTTTTTTAATAATTATAAAATTACGTAATTATATACGAAAAACATTATTTCATCAAATTTAAAAAACAACTAACATCTAAAAAAGCAATTTGATAAATAAAACATAGATTTATAATACCTTGTATGACTCGTAAAGTTATTCCTTCAAGAAGACAAAGTGCACAAATGAAGAATGAATCAGCAATAGTTCTTAATCCAAGATACATCCAAAAAGTAAGAGACAAATCTCCAACAACATCGAAACATTTGGGCTTTTTTCCATCAGTTTGCATTGACAGAAGACATTTTATGCCCACGACATCATCAGCTGCTGATCGTCTACAGAATACTGAGTCATGCGTCTTTTCATCCACTTTAATAATAGTTCCTGTAGTTGCAGGAACAAAATTGCACACATTGAGAGATGGAGAATTGCCATGAATTTCTGTAAAGGAAAACTCTTTGGATGATACGTTTCTGTATTCTGTAAATTGCCATGTTCTGAGATCGGAAACAAATTCTAAAATTGAATTCTCTCTAAATTCTGGATCGTATACAAGACAGAAATTTGTAGTGTTCACTGTAGAACGAAAACACATGTGTAATGGATTTGTTGAATCTGAAGAATAGGGTCGTATGTCTTCTTTTTCTTTGTTCTTGAATTGGCAATAAGATAATCTAAACAATGAAAAGTTGTATGAGTTCGAGAAAATATATTATTTCTGCCATATTACAATACAGTAGGGTTTCCAAACAGCGAATTTCTCCTTAATGCAAAATTTTTAACTCCAGTATCAAATAATATTCAAAATATAATCCATATAACAAATTAGTTGTCTTAATATAACTGATTTTACAAACATTAATCTTTTCAATTTTCATATATTTACAAGGAAGTTGCAATGGAAATTCAGAATAAAAATATTAGAAAGAAACTGAAAAATAAAAGATGATGTAACATTCAACAAAAATTTAGAAAAGGACAAATAGGGTTAATTACTAACAAAAATAATTTTTTTTGAATGAAAACAATGTTAAAGACAAAGGGAAAGACAAGAAATAAATAACACAATGATAAAGGCCAATAAAGTGACAGTGAAAAAGAAGTGATACAGTCAAAATCTTATTGAATTGAAATTCTAAGATCACTCGAGACAGTTAAAAATGGTCTCCGGAATAGAAAAAAATTTTAATTAGAATATTAAAAAGAAATGGAAGAATAAAAAAATTATGGGACACACCTAAAGTTTAGAGAGTTCGAAAGAACTGCTAAGATTTCATATCTTATGAATGGAAAGATTTTTAACGAAGACAATAAAAATACAGAAAGAGAAGAAAATAATAAAGACCTCATAATTGAAAGTAATTTCTAAAACAAAGATTTAATACAGCCAAAATCATATTAGACTAAAATGCTAAGATATTCGAAATCAAAAGAAAAAGAGAATAAAATTTGCTCAACTGCATTTTTAGATCTCTATTTAAATGTAAAAATTTATTAAAATCAAGAATTGAAAATTATTTAAAAAACACGGAGATTTTTAAGTAAAGTACGTACTAGTACTAGTAATCTCGAATGTTTTGCCTTCACTTTTGAGCAATTTATTTTTATACAATAGAAATTAATGATTTTAATGAATATATGATAAACAATAACTTCATTTTTTTAAAATCATAATTTTATGCTTCTGTACTTATCGCGCAAACTAATAAGTTTGTAGATTTAATTAAGCAATTGCAAAATTATCTAACCTCTGAATAACGAAATTTTCTCTATAGCAAGTTAACTAGGTTAAATGGGCTTTCTTAATAAGTTTATTTTAATGGATTTAAATTCTTATGATTTTACTCTAGAGTACGTTTCAATTGGATCAAACTTAGTAGTGAGTGAAGATGAGTTTGGCTTGCAAACTAAACAAATATATGATGGCATTTCAATTTTCGAGGGTTGGGGGACGACCTTGAGCACAGGGCAGAGCCCACTAGTTTTAAATTAATTATCATAATATAACAAAATGTTAAAAATTGAATTTTTTTTAGAAAAACCAAACCAATTTCCTTTCTTAGGACTTATGGTTGATGTACCCAGAATGTGCATTGAAAACATCATTTTCCAATTTCACACGTGCAGCGCATGATAACTGCCAATGTTGGAAAAATCTCCAGTGGAAAGTGTCTACAATTATCTTTATTAAATTTAAAATTACTTCTTCAAAAATTTTAACGCGTCTTCTTCTCTTTGAGTGCATAAAATAATACGTCTCGATCAAGGAAATCAATGACGATCGACTATAATGAATTGATTAAAAAATTATATGCGTTATATTAAGACACATATTAAAGCGAAATGCACTTGCAACTTGCAAGCGACTTCTCTTAAACAAGTTCGTATAGACATCGATATTAGTCATTACAAGAACAATCTAATGTTTATTTCATTTTTTAGTATCGATTTATGGAACATGCTCTGATGATCTATACGAAAGAAGGGAAGTATATTTTTTCAATCATAATATCAGCGAGATTTTTGACTACTTATTATCATGCCAAAAATTTAACCACTTCAGTTCTTTTTGATATGAGTATACCTGCCCCAAGTGTTCCTTTTAAACTGTTGAGATAGTAAGCCCCATAGTTGTTATTTTCGGTAAAATGACACTTAAGCCCTATTGTTTTAGTAAGGGATCATTACTTCATAATTGAAATGTTTTTTTTTTTGTTTTTTTAAAGCTTATTACCCCGTGTAATTTAAAGGTTATTAAGGGATTTAATAGAGATCGAGGGAGTATTTTAATCGAGATTGCATTGATTGCATAATATACAATTATGGTATTACATACCGGCATTTTGGGTGCATCATCCCTAAAATCTATTTTACCATAAAGTAGTATGCCGTACGTTGTACAGTAATATTTATATAATTAGAGTGATTTAGTGATTTTACGATAATTATTACTGTAAAAATTATGATATCTCAGAATTTTTGTTCCGTAACATGTTTAAATAATAATTGATTTTACGATAAAAGTACCAGCACCCTGGGTGCTGGGGAAAAAGAATTTGTGAAAAAGAGATGTTACTAAGTTACAAAAATGGTCCATTGATGCTTTTATCTCAAAATTTGAACTAGTGATGACATTTGAAAATTTCCATACATATGTTCAACATGTCTATCTTATATTTAAAAACAAACCTCTCGTACAAATGGACCATGCTTAGCTAACATGATTAAATTTTACATTTTTTTATGTTTTAGCCTAATACCCTGAGAGGTTAAGTGGTTAGGACATAAAAATTGCACATTAACACTTCAAGCCCGAAATTCAAACCAGTAATATCTCTGCAAACTGCTTCACAGAATTGATACATGACTATTTAATATTAAATAAACATTTTTGGCATAATTTATTTCATTTGTAATTTAATTTTTTGTTTTTAGCCATTGTAGCGTTTTATAACTAAATACTTCTGATTGAACCAGGGATTTCCAATCGTGAAATTCGAACTAATTTAAAAAAAAAAAAAGGAAACACGACTAACTTATTCGAAACACGTTTTCGAGGGCTTTTATTGAAAATCATGCTTATATCTAAATAAAATACAATAACAAAAATTATCTTACTTGAAACGAGTGTTAGCGGACCATGCAGAAGCGACATCAGAACACGTTTCATAATTGGCACATTTTTCAAGGTTGATTACTGCATTCATTGATGATGAGCAATCAAAATCCAATTGCGGTTGTTTTCCAATTCTATTTATTTTAGGTACTGCAAGTAATGCAGTATATGAAAATATTGATATGAAAAGAGATAAAGAAAAGCAAAGTTTATAGAGATATCTTCTCGGAGAATTTCCTCGTTTCTCTGCAAGAGTACCAACTAAAAGAGGTATCAATAAGCAAATTAGACCAGATGCTACGTGAACCCATATAGAATGCCATAAAGTTAATCCAATTGAACGCATATGGACGCTGAGAAATGGTATAATGCATGATATGCCTATAAAAATGAAATAATTATCAGCTTTTTAAACATAACAGTCAACGAAAAATAAATGTAAATGTAATAATTCGGGAAAAAAATTTGAATTTTTTTTATGTAGTACTTAGTACTAATAACCAAATTAAATAACAAAGCTAACAAGAAACGTGATTTCTCGAAATTAACGTACTTCTAAATGAATTTTAAACTCTTGACGCAAAAACATTTAGGAGATAGTCGACCTCGGGTAATTGTGTTTGCAAGCTATATGGTAAGAAGAGAGAGGGGAAATATTAGTAACTTAACATTATTTTTATATTGATAAAAAAATTATTGCTGAAAAACATATTTGTTAGACAAAGTTGTTGTTGATAAGATAAAAAAAAAAGGGAATTCTGATTTAAAAAAAACCCAAAATTTACGGTGTTTAAGTCATTTTGTTCTGAATGGTACTGGTTTATCAGAAATTATGGATTTTAAAATAATAATTATTGTCCACAAGTTGGCAACGCTAAAAAATTAACTCTAAACATTAATTAAATAGAATTACTATAAACTTATCAGACAATTCTTTTGGTGATATCCCTCATTTTACCATTCATTTAGCTATTCAAGATTTTGCTGGTAATTAAAACTTCGAATAAAATGCTAAATAAGAATGTTAAAATTAAGTTTAATCTATAATTTTTTATTTAAGAAAAACACATATTAGTAATGAGTATTAACTTATTTTTAATTTATATTATAAGTTAGAGAAGCCTACATTTGTGTGAGGCCAATACTTTGTATTTTGTTAGCAATATAAGATTTATAAAAAAAAGGAAATAATATGTGCATACATATTTTATTTATTCAAAATCTTCTAATATCTATCAAGATTTTATTTATAAAATTATCGATCATAGTGATATTGAAATCCTAATACAATACTAGTTACTCCCTTTCCATTGCATCATATTAGAACTAATTTATATCTGAATTTCAGACATTGTTACAGATGAAATAAAAATACACTCATGGACAAAAAAATTAGCTCACCAAGAAGGAGTCGTCTAAAGGAAACGAAATTTTACATACGTAATGACTACTTTGATATAAGTAAATGATTAGAAAGTCAAAGATTATCGTTTTTCTTTGATTTTCTAATCGTTTACTTATATCAAAGTAGTCATTACGTATGCAAAATTTCGTTTCATTTTGACAACTCCTTCTTGGTGCGCTAATTTTTTGTCCATGAGTGTATGATACGCTGGTAGTCATTTTTACTTTAAAAGAAAGTTAAGATTATGATACTATCGATTTTAAACATATACTATCTGACAGCAGAGGGTGCAGCATAATTATGGCAACTGACTCATTTGCATGGAGACAGGAATTAATAGGAGAATCCCAGTTTCATTTCATGAATATTGTTTTATACCATTCAGACTATGCAACACTTCCCAGGAATCATACGTTTTGATAATGTTCTAAATTTACCTTATTATACTACCTAGATGATAAACTTATATTCAGATTTGTGAACCTCCAAAACCTTTTGAAAAATTCATGCAGCGAAATATTAACACGATCATGTAAATTCTAACGATGCAAATCTAAATTTGCTTTATTTTTGGTTGTATTAGAATTTATTAGCTAAAAGAGGTTGGTCTAAAATATGTTTGTGTTAGAATGCATTTAGTTTGTATATCATATATACATTATATTAGTTAATCCAACGATAATAGTTAATAACAAAAGTTATCCATATAACCAGAGCTTTTACTTTGTGTTTGTTAAATCATACTATTTTTAAACATTAATTTAAGCTGCAACACTTGTTTTAAAATACAACACTTGTCTGTACGTTAAGATCTAAATGTATAATTTAGGGAGTTAAAGCTAATATTGATATAAGCGTACGCTTTTAGATAAAGTTTTAAACTAAAAAGTCAAGTCCTAATCTTTCAGAAATAAAAATTTCTATATTTTAAAGATAAAAAGTTAAAGAAATAAATATAAATGTAAACAAAATTCTTGATTTACGTTATTTATTTACACTTTATTGAAATTTTTTTGAAGATGTAACACTTGTTTCTAAATCGATTAAAACCAAATGTAAAATTTATTTAAAATTTCAGAATTATTACACTTTTTTCTACCTATGAAAAATAATATTTATATCAACAGCAAACAAAAATATAGAAGTATCAAACTTGATCATTTTAAGAATCATTTTACTTTAATGGTCTATGGATAAAAACGCTCCTCTATGAAATTGAAGATAATGATACGTGTAAACTTCTACATAAGGATTTCAACTAAAAAATCTCAGTTTTCTAAAAGATCATTTTTGTTCCTAAAGTTTTTATTCAGATCATCGACATAATTAAATCTTAATATAACTATAAAAGGAATAGTATTATGAATAAAAATGATTTTATCAAATTTATGTGTCTGTATTAATAGTATATTTTGTATGAGTGTGCTTGTGTCTAGCCATAGCTTTGATAGACGTGAGTTTGTTTTTGTTGAGCATTAGTAAGATTTTAAAACACTTTAATTGCTATGATTAAAAAAAGCTGTTAAACCAAATTTTTCCATTTTTTAAAATGATTTGCAGATATTAGATATTTAGTAGCTTTTAAATAAATGCAACATTTTTTTAATTTTTTAAGTTGGATTTAAGATATAATTTTCCTTAAATTGGATAGTTACAATAAAATAACAGTAGAAACGAAGTTTTAAATTTTCATTATAGTGGAATAAATAATAGCATTTAAGTCAACTAAATAATACTAAGAATGATGTTTTAAATATTTTATAAAAGTTAATCATTATTAAAACTCTAAATCTAATAAAATAAACATTATGCATTACTTAAAAAGACTAAAATGAATATGAAAAAAGAAAAAAAACATGCAAAAGACAGATTTCTTTTTATTTTATATAAAAATACGTTCATGTTTCTATGTTTCTACGTTCATGTAAGAATTCATGTTTCTATCCCTTGGACACAGAATCTTTTTAAACATATTTTTGATACTTCATTATTTTGTATTTATTTTGGTAAAAATAAGTTAAAAATATTATATTTAGCATTTTAATAATTGAAAACACAGCATGAATACCACATGAAATACCGGTGTTTTCTTGTACTTTAAATGTAAACCAGACAATAATTTTTCAAATTTGTACTTATTTGCAGTTATTTAGATCTAAGAGAAACATTTATTCAGAATTAAAATTTCATTAATTTTCAAAATTTTTGCATTTTTGAATACAACTGAAAAGAATTCAACTTTGAATACAACTTTTTGAATACAACTGAACTTTTTTAAGATTTTATATTTTAGAACAAATATAATTCCTATAATCTAACAGAATTTTTTTAGTTACTATTAAACTGTTTTTTATAATGAAAAAATACCAAAAAATATTTTTCGCCTGTAATTAGTGTTAGGAGAAATAAAATAAAATAGACACCGATGCCCAATCTGCATCAAAGGGTTAATGTGTTTTATGAATTTTAAGAACAAGCTTAATGAACAAAAAATCATTTATTCCCTAATTTTTTTTTCTTCAAATAAAGATTTAATAGGAAATTGTTATATACTCTATTAATATAATTTATTTTCAAAAAATTTTTTGTTTGAAATTTAGCAGGATGTAAAATTCAAATACGACTTTTGGGTGAAATCATGGATTTACCGAATTTAATCATTTAAAAATGATTGTAAATGTAAAAAATTTCATACTTTGTTGATTTAAAAAATGACATTTGTTCGAAATAAAAATCAAAAAGGATAGAAACAGTATTTCATGTTGATAAAATATTTTAAATTAATATATCAAAGAAAATGATGATAAATTTACCTCCATAGAAGATGAAATTGATGACATTCAGGGAGATTGTAGACTTCGATTCTGGGGAGATCATAATATTTCTGAAAAGAAATAACATTTCTTATTGTATGAATGATAGAATAGATTATGATTGAACGGAATGCATTCGTAAAAAGATTCGTCACTTAATAGAAGCGAGAGAATCAAAATATTCTTTAAGGAAGCATAAGAAATGTTCTATTTCTTCACCATTTGCTGTGAGTTACTAATTATGTTCTATTTTTGACAAAACATGATCATTGCGTCTGCTATTTGTTCTATAGATCTCATTTTAAGTTGATATTCAGTCTATATCATAAATTACTTCTGTTGCATCCGAATTTTTTTTTTGTTTTATTTTAAGGCGTTTATTTCTTTTGTTAAAAAAATGCTGAGTCAAATATTAGAGAGAATTTTATTTCTCATTTACATGGAGAAATACTATGTAATTACTTATTTTAAATTCTAAATATAATTATTGAAAAAGATAAAATTATTTTTTTATATAGACATATTAGAAGCTTTAACATTTAGTTATGTAAAGCATTTTATAAGAGCCTTTTGGAAAATTTTAATTATTCATTAGACATTATTATTTCTCTAATTAAATAAAGAAATATCGCTAAAAGTTTAGTTGAAATTTTAACTGCATTTAAATTACATTTTGAATTAATCCTTGGTATCAGGTTTTGAATATTATTGTCTTCTGATAATATTTGAAATTTTTTCAAAACATAAGCAGTAATATTTCATGGCCTCAATATTGCATAAATAACAAGAAAATATGATTAAGTTAAGTTTGTATAACGGATTAACAATATTAAACTCTAATTTTATTGTGAAAACTATAATACCTTTTTAAAAATGTTTTAATTCAAATGCATTTTTCAGTATTATAGGTAGCTGCAGAAAATACCGAAATAAATTAACTGATCTTCTTTTTGAACCAACTATGTAAAATGCTTTCGATTTTTCTTTTTAATAAAATAAAAGTAACTGTTACATGCGTCAAAGAATTCGTGATAGGTGTTCTGCAATAAAGAAGAAGAAAAACACACACTTTATTGAAATCAAATTTTTTTAAAAATAAAAATAAAGTAAACCAAGTATATAGGAGTTGAAGTTTATGAAGATTAGTATGAAGTAGTAAAAATAATCTTTATAACAGTAATATTATATAAATAATTTAACAAAAATAAACTCTGATTTTACTGTGCACTCGTTTCTATAATATTTCCTTGAATAATTTAATTTTTCGGGTGTATTTTTAAGAAACTACAGAAAATTAGTGCCTTTTTTTTAATGATCATACAAAATATTTCAAAAATTGCTTCAAAAAATGACAAAAATAAATAAACAAATAAATTATTTACAAGTCTCCTTAAAATGTTTTCAAATGTTCTTTTTATAAAGAATAAAAAGATTCTATTACATACATCAATGAATTTGTGATATGTTTGATGCATCAGAGAAGATAAAAAGGGGAGTTCAAAGAAACTGATGCATTGAAACGTCATTTGTAAATAAATTTAAAAAATAAAAAGTTCTCAGCTTATTTTTAGTTTGGAGATACTTATAAAACATATAAATAATTCTTTTCTTAAAGTTTAAAAACGTGTTTTAGATTTACTTTGAATTAAAAAAGAGCGTGTAATTAAGAAAACGTTAGGAAACTTATTCTTAAACATATATATTAAGAAGAATTTTGTTTGTTTCCTTGCACGCAAATTTTTTTTCCCTTGATTTAGACATTAGTAGTTTTTAACAAGTGGTATTGAATGTTTCTTTTATTTTCAAAAGTTTTTGAAGCGTTTTATTAACCAGGAAATATTTAAAAAAATGAGTACAAATAATTGCATTCTCTTTCTGCTTTAAAAATTGGTAATTTTGTATTATTTTAACAATTTATTAGGATTTAAATTTTTCTTTCTAGCAAGGCAATGTTACTTTTTTAAAAGGGAAAGATTTCATTCGATTAAATTGATTTAACTTATTATTATTTAACTTATTATTATTTAACTTATTATTATTTAACTTATTATTATATAACTTATTATTATTTAACTTATTATTATTATTTTTAATGTTCTAAAATGTATCTGTGAATCTATCGAAACAAATGTTAAGAAGGATCGTTGAGCGAAAGTGTTTTTAGAATTGTTAATTTGAATGAAATAAATTATGATTTTGTTGTAAAACAATTCTATATCTAGCGTTACAAGGTTTAAGAATATAATCTAAATGTGCTAGGTATGAAATTGTAAATGAACACATATTTTCATTTTATAAAGTTATTGAATACGAAGTTTTGCGAGTAAGATAAAAAAAAAAATCTGAGATAGATGTACAGTAGTTCTTTTTTTCATTTATTGAACACATACAAGTAATTGCCTTAGATTGTTTTTATTGGTATCAAAATTGGGAATTATTTCACCCTTTAATTAAATTTCAAAGCGTTAATGCGAGTTCTGAAGGAATTTTAATTTTGTTTTAAGATCTAGCAACACAATCTTAGGACAATTACTTACAAGTCCAGAAAAATTTCGTCCAAATAACCATTATTAAATATTTTCTATTAAATATCGTGTGAAATAGTAACATTCGAAAAAATATTGATCTTTTGTAAATAGAAGAATTTTTATATGTTTCTTTTCTTCAGCAAAAGGAAATGATTCGAATCAAGTTAATGAACAAGAAAAGGAAGGATGAACTATTAGCTAGTTATGTTAAGGTTAAGCAAAGTGAAATGTGAGTTGATGACTAGGCCATATTGGTCTACCTACGTTAATACATCATCATCAAAAAGGGGGACTGACCACTTGGGCATGACCTATTGGTCAACTTCGCTTTTTTCCTTGTTGTAACTTGATTCTAATTTTCTTCTTCATCTGTGTGCTTCCCTCTTTCACATTTTGTTTCGACATTGAAGATGGTCACATAAATTCCCATAAACTTATTAGTTGTGCTATTTTTATGCTGTTTAGCACAGGTAAATGTGTTTCTTTTTAAAATATAAAGTTTTCGTGATTAATAATAAAGTAAGGGATAAATATCAGTTAATAAGATTTTAACCAATAATTATCTTATTATATATAATGAATTTCCCTAAATTTTCTTAATAGGCAGTGTACTTCATCACTATGCACATTTCCTATTTTAAAAAATTGCGCATTTATAATAAAAGCTATTCCAAATTAACCGAATTTCTATTCTCTTTAAAATAGAAAATAGACGAAAATTTCAGGAAACATAAATAAGTATTTAATTAAACTAAGAAATAAGCAAAAAAAAAAAACTTTCTTCAAAATTTAATACAAATTCTCTGGTTATTAAATTCAGCTACGAAGTACAATGAGTAGCCTTTTTTTAAAATTAAGTTTACATTTATGTAGCTATTAATCATGGTGTTAGTGAATCATCGGAAAGCCTGAACTTAATTGAAACAGCTGTTATTACATTTTTAAAATCATTTTTAAGCCACTTCATGGGGTTTTTGTACAAAACGTACTTTTGTAATATTTTCATAAAAAATATTAAAATTAAATTACTCAGTTCCATTTTAAATGATTAAACTCTGGAACTACGAAAATATCACATTCCACACAGAAAAAAGAAGAAATAAACAAAGCAAACAATAAGTGTAAAAAATGTTTTAATTTTGATAAAATGTTTTGCTTTACTAATTGTAAAAATTAAATAATTGATAGATTGGTGGAAATTAATCATCTGTTGCTCGGAAAATTACAGTTATAAATATTTCGAAATGAAATAATTATTTTATAAGTACATTAAATAATTCATTAATAAAAGTACCTAAATAAAGACGCGTGTGTGGCGTGTTTTGATATTTAATTTTTATTTTATTTGCGTGATTTAATTATTCAATTATGGTACTATAAGTTTCACACATTATTAAAGTTCATTCGGTTTACATTTCTGAGGAAAGAAAAAAAAACAATAATTTAAAAATCTCAGAAAATAGTTTAGAGCCAGAGAATAAAAAATTAGAAAAAAGTTACAAAAAAAAAACAACAACATATTTTTCCTAAGAAAATCATTTTGTTGTGTTTCTTCTGTTGTTAAACTTAATAAACATATAGTTTTGCTCAGTTGCTATCTGGAAAATTAATGATGTATGAGTAAAATAGAAGAATTGATGAAATTTTTTTTTTAAATAATACTAAAACTACTTTTTCATCTTAAAATATTGTGAGAATAAATAAGTTTTCATTCATTTTTATTTTTAAGTACATACAATTTGGATAGAATGGTTGCGAGTTTATGAAACAAGTAACTTCAGTCTTTTGCCTCATATATATTTGCACAAGTCTCTAAATCGTTTTGTAAAGAATTTTAAAGATTAATAATTTCATGTAGTAAAATTTTTTGCTAAAAATTTATTTTATAAGAACTCAATATACTAATGCTTATCTAAGACGACCTCACGAAAAGGATATGTATATATATGAGTTTTCAGAAACTATAAAATCTAAAAAATAAATTAATACAAAAAACAAACAATACTTACATTCTTCGCTATTTTGGAGGTTGGTCTGTAATATCTTCAATGCTCGCTATTGATCAACCGGCCTACGTACCCGTATTTCAGCGTATATTTTCGGCCCGTCGGTGAAAAAATTCATGAGCTTTTCCTTACCTGTTAGTGGTGGACAAAAACCGGTTTTCACCCCTGACGAGCGAAGGGTCGCCACCTTTTGCGAAGTTAAGTTTATTGCAGGGTTATCACATGAAGAGTTTTTAGATTATCTTTTTTTTCTTCTTCTTTTATTCTATGTATCATTTGGCTGTTCTCACTTTAGAAAAAAGTCGCTACATGTTTTGTTTTGACTTTTGGACCTTCTCTGTCCATCGACCTGTTGTATTCTTTCAGTTCGTGGGGGGTTCATTGTTTTTCTTTTGTTCAATAGCGTAAGTCTCTTATTAGATATTCCGGTGAAAGGAATATTTAATTGTTTTTTAAAATTGATTATTTTGTTTTTGTGTGCCTTAAGAATTGAACAATAAATTGGAGTTCATTATGGAACCTTCTCCAATCTCATATTCATCGGTCATTATTTTATTTTAATTATAATTTCTCTCTTATGTTTTAGTAAGTACATAACATATACAATCCGAAAAATGCACAAATTTAGAGCTTTGTTTTCACGTGGAGTCCAATGTGGATACCATTTCGCAATTCATGTGAAATTTTGTTATTTTGTTATGCGTTTATTTCATTTTATCATTTACTAAGTAATGTTACTGGCACAGATTATAAAATTAAAATAATATATATATATANTTTTTTTTTAAATTATAAAAAGAGTGAGAAAAAATCTAACAATGATTTCTCAGTGGTATATATAAACAATCAATAATACCATTAATTATTAAATTTATTAAATATATATATATATATATATACGTATATGTACTAAGATTCTTTCTGCTTCTGCAATATTTAATATTTCCACTTCAATCAAAAATTAAAGTGCGAAGATTAATAACTGTAATGGGAACTGTTCAATTGAAGCGTTAATTAGACCGCCAGCTTCGATTTTTAAATTACTTCAATTTTAAATTTTTTTGCTGTGTAACGGATAATTTTGAAATTGTTTTACTCGATAATGCAAATTTCCTTTCCTGAATTTGTGTTGAATTAAATATTAATTTATTATAGCCTTTTTTTATGATATAGTAAATAAAGTGAATAAATATCAGTGCCAATAATATTTTAATAAATACAAATGGTGTCCGTTATGAACCCGCTCCGCCATTCATGCTAACTAAAAAACGCGACTGCTCGAAGGTTCAAAATAAAGTGGAAAATTAACCTTCGTGATAAAATATTTAATTTGTTATGATACCTAACCAAAGGCAATAGTTAAGCGTAACTTTTCGAAAGCTTTTTAATTGTTTAAAATTTTTTTTTACATTAATGGTTAAAAATTTACAGCAATAAATGAGAGCTTAAAATGCAAAATTGGATTGTAGCTTGAAGTTGAAACTGTTTTTTATGCTTTAAAGCTTAAACTAAGCAACTATAAATCCTTATCCTATAGTAAAAGTTTCCCAGTTTTAATAAAAGTGATGTTTCTCTCATTATTATTATGAAATAATTTTAAATGATTTCTGCATTGTAAAAGTTATAAAAAAAATCGGTAACTGACCCCCATTATGCCTTAAATGTGACATGTTTTGGACTAAACAAATTTCTTTTAAAAAATTTCTGTGAATAATTCTTGAGATAAATGGTTATTTTCAAACAAATTGACATTCAATTTTCTATTACGGAATACCAGAAGAACGAAAATTATACCAGAAACAACGCCTCTCTTGCATATCAAGAAGAAATTTAATTCTCCTCTTCAATTCACCTCCATTTTCCTCAAAGAGCAGAAGCGTGCAATTTTTAGAAACAGGAGTTTTCAGGTATCATTTATAAATCATAGAAAAGCTTTCTATCAAAAAATATCTTGATTACCGATAAATAAATAATTCCAAGAAACTGAAACAGTAAGATATTACCTGATTAAAAACTTCAATCGCTTCAAAAATATATAAACAGAAAAGGACAGTTGACATGGTTCAAGCACTAGAAAATAGGCACCCATTTTCAAGAATTGCCAGACATGAATGAAGAGAAATCAAATTGATTTTAAATATAAGACGTTAAGTTGCAACGAAAAATAAAAAAATGATGGTGAGCAAAAAAATTTTTTTTTTCTTCTGGTTATTGTTTTTATATTGTTGTTGTTATTTACTCAATAATGTACTGAATTTCAATGAAATATTTTTGATTCAGCACTATTATTTAGCGTGAGAAATCGGCTCACAAGAGTTTTTTAAATAGCTAACTTCAGCACCTAAAATGTTTCGAAATTTTTACATGTCTAATGGACATATGAGTCTACAAAAGTAAATTGTTACACAAAAAAATAATTTGTAAATAAACAACTTTTTTTACAAATTATAATATTTTTACGTTGAGCTCTTACAAAAATTCATGTCTACTTAAATCTTATGCATGCAAAACATATGAATGTAATTATTAATTTGGAGAAACAAATTATCTCGCTTGCTATAAAGTTGAATCAAAATAGTAAAAGGAAGTACGAACTTTATCTAACAAATAATTTTGAATAAATTTTACTGAAAAGAAGAAAAAAATCACTTGTTCTGACATGGAAATGACTAGAATGATATCACTAGTAAATTTACTTTTTATTTCCTTTTTAAAATTATTTTCGTGCCTAGCGAAAAGTCTAAATATTTTTTTAATAAAAATAAGTCTGATTTGGGGAATAAAAAGGGAAAAAAGTAAAGTAGAATGATAAATTCTTATTTCTAATTAAAATTTGCGGAGTGTTTATTCGATATTTTAGAGATTTTGTGAATAAATATTTAAATGTTAATATTGTTCAACTTAGAGGCTTATTATAGTTGTAGTAAATGTGAACTATATAATCGTTTAACATGCCTTGAAATTTCAGTCAGTCTATTGAATATTACAATAAATAAGTTTTACAAGAAAACTTTTTATTCATGAAAAACCGTTACTGACGTTTAAAATGCATCAAACTTGCTACAGCCTAAATACGATGTTAAATAGAGCTGTGTTTTGGTTCCGATTGAACGATTGTAGCGGGAAATTAAATTGCGGTTCTACTTGTAGCTAGTTATATTAAGAGTGTTTGAATAACATTACATTTCAATTTGCTATGAAATTTGTCTACCAAATTTGACCATAAACTATGTGTTTGTTTTAAGTAAAACCGCATATATAGATTGCCATTTAAAAGGAAACATAGTATTTGCTGCAACATTTATAAGATGTTAAACTAAATGAGTCAAAATGAACTATTGAATTCAGTTTAAGAAGTAAAATCAATATCAATCGTTATCAATCTAATATTGAATTAACCGACAAGTGCATGGCGAGGAACATATTTTACCCTTACGGTTTTGAAACCATTTATAACTAGTATGGTTAAAAAACCTTCATTACGAAACTGTACGGCTTTTTAATCATTTACAACTAGCATAATTTCAAAAACATAAAAATAAATTTAACTGGACATGCAGATACTTTAGCAGCCTTATGGAGCTGCCCATCTATGATTGAATGAGAGTGTAGCATTTTAATAGTCAAAGGCCACAAATTAGGGACGGCAGGATACTGTAAACTCTTCATAAGTTGAAAGGAACGGCGAAACTATTGTGGTGTCAACACGGGGTTACGAACCCCCGTTCTGTTGGTCTTGACATTGACAGATTAGCCCTCTCGCCTATAATCTGTACACCTCTGCTAGGAACTAAGTGGCTTCCTCAGGTGGGTTCCAGTTGTTTAACAGTATTAGGTCACAGTTTAACAGTTTTTAATAAACAGTTTTAACAGGTTAATAAACAGTTTTTCTCAAAGTTAACAGTTTGAATCATCTTATTTATGATTATTTGACTGTTTTGTCTGAATACGGTAAAATAACAAGTAAATAAATTGTTATTTAACCAATTTTTTTTAAAAAAAAACATTTTAACAGTGAACGATAAGGTTCAACTTCGCACCATATTTAGTTTGCTGCAAATCAAAACGATGTTATGATTCAACAATTTCTGACTAATTGGAACATGAATAAATTCCGTGAAAAATTTAATTCTTTCATTTTATCTAAAACCAGAGATATATTAAAATGAAATACTAAAATATTTTGAAAATTACATTAATGCATTTTAAAAATCATAAAACAACGTGAAATATCAAATTTTATTGACGAAATGAATTTTTTTTGTGTTTTAACTTTCTTTTTTTTTTTAGAAAATGAGATTTCGTTAATTACTTTCATTCATTACTGTCTGTTTATTTAAAACATGCATTTAACATATTTTTAATGAACTTTCTAAAATTTAATGAAATAGCGACACTTATTAGACAACTTGGGGAATCGAAATTTTGCATTTCTTTGAGAACTCATTACGTCCATTCATTCTCATGTCCGTAAAAGTATCGGGGCATAAAGCCTGTTTCCTCACCTATAGCACTCATGCGTGCAGAGAAAAGCAACCTAGCACGAAATGAAATTCGTACATAACGTGATTACTCAATGGATTCAATTTGATCGTAACATTATTTTAAAAACTTGCTTTGAAAATAAATTAACGGGAAAAACTTACTTCAATACCCAGACTGTATTTGTAATTTAACTTATTAATAAATGAATAACATTATATTAATATCAATAAATGAATATAATAAATAATATTAATAAGTGAATATAATAAATAATATTAATAAATGAATATAATAAATAATATTAATAAATGAATAATAATAATCGAATAATAAATGAATAACAATCTTCATTTATTATTCGATACTACATAATTTTTAAACTATTATTTAATTTATGCTAAATTTAACAAATTTGCATTATAAGATGCATTTTTGATTTATTATAATTCATTATTTCATGCATTATTATTCTATTCAAGAATCAATTTATTGCTTAATTTATAAATATAACAAATTGGTGTTTTTTGGTACATGAAAATTATAGTAACTAAACGAAACGAACTTTGAAAACAAACGTTCTTTTTTAATATTTCGCGGTAATATGTTTTTTCACAGATGAAAAAAATCTATTAAAAGTAAAGTAATAAAGTATTAAAATTCATTTTATTTATTTGACTAAAGATATTTTGAAA